ATCGACAACAATTTCCGAAAGTTTCTCTGGAAAATTTTTTTGACAACTCGGGCACAAACCGAAAAAGTTGGGCAAATTTCTTTCCGCCCCCCTAATTTTTTCCTTCCCGTACGCCCATGGCCCAAGGGCTGTGCATTAGTCTTCAGTATGTCCCGGTACCTGGGCATTTACACTATCGTAACCAATCAAATCTAATGTCCGAGTGTGTTCCCGGGGGCGGGGGGGGGGAGGATGGTTACTCCTGGAATTGACTCATGCATTAATAAAGGCCTGATAGCTCAGTTGGTTAGAAACTTATAATGCTGCACCCGATACACAATCGCAGGTAGTTGCATATTTGTTCACAGCTGAGGCCCACCAAGGGGTTATGACCGACAGGCGACAATCCTTAAAAAGAGGTGACAGACTATCTAAAATAGAGCGACAAACGACAGCTTCTGACTGGGAAAAAGCGACAAATTGCGATTTGTGTTATGGGTCAAAAGTGACAGCGACATTTATTACAATAAAACAAGCGAAAAAGCAGCTACAAAATGAGTGACAAGCGACCTGGGTTACACCCTTGGTGGGCCTCACAGCTGTTCCTGGCTACAAGATCCTTCAACTATTATTCAATCGAGTGAGATGCCAACAAAATCTTGAACATACTGAAGCCTGTATATATTATCATTTAATATTTAATACCTCGCATTCGAAGGGGCGTGCTCCAGAATGCACTCTTTGGTGAAGCATCAATGGATAGTTTGATCGAAAGCTTTTATCGCAATCCTGGCATTTGAACGAACTTTGTACTTCACCATGTCCATGAGTCTTCTTGTGCTCAGTTAGCAAAGATAGGGTACCAAATGCCATTTTACAATCATCACAATGATAATTTGGTTCATTTCTTTCCAGGCTGGCTGAAGCCGCTTCACAAGTAGAATTTACTTCAACTACAGCACAAACGTCGTTCATCATAAAACACTTTATATAAAGCGGTCCGTTCTATAAACCCAATGTTCTATTATAAACCGTTTGGTGAAATCCATAGAGATCCTACCATATAATACCAAATAATATCCGGGTGATCCGGTGTGACGCGAAATTCCTGACTTGCGAAATATCTGACTATTGTAGAACTGCCCATGCGCAGACGATGCGCATGAATGACTTTGGCTCATAAATTTCGCAACTGAACAGACAACACGTGTATTTATAAAGCCATTTTATTTATACATAAATTTTCCAACATTAATTCTACAATTGATTAACTGAATTGACACTATACCACTGATTGTGAACGTTATAATAAACCTTGAATCGTAGATATGGAAATATCACTCGAAAAGCGATCTTAGTGATATAAAATAGACTCCAGTTTCAAAGGTTATGCCGTATATGCATTACTATACTATAAGCACTAGTCGATTTGAAATATTTAACGAAGTATTAGAAATTAACATCATGATTATTTTATCTAAACTCTAAAAAACAGTTTTGGCCGACTTAGAATTTAGCAAGCGTCATGTATTTCGCGCCTGTACGCGCGAAATTTCTGACCCGTCACGCTAGGTCAGGTATTTAGCAGAGGTCAGGAATTTCGCTTGACACCGGGCAGTGCTCTCACAATCAAATTTTCGAATTCCTTAGAAAAAGCTCGAAAATTCCTCAGACTTCCTTAAAATTCCTTAAATTGGTAAAATTACTACAAGGCCTGATCACAGAGTTGCAAAAAGAGTTTTTTTCACGTGATTTACCTGAATTTTTCGAACTGAACGTTCTTTAAAACCGTATTTTTTGAAAATTTGAAGTTTCTAGACCGTCGGAAACACAAGCGGCCCAATCTCGCAAGGGTCAGTATAGACTTATAGTATAAATGTATATTATATTATATTAATGTATATTATAGTAAAAATATGTCGTAAAATATAAATTTTAAAATGAAATTGACTTGCCTATTTGAT